GTATCAAGAAAAGCGGATCAACTTTGATTACAACAGACTTTGTTAATTGATTAAAAATGACCATATATGGCCACAGTGGAACAATGGCCTATTCATTCTTTTGCGTAAGAGCAGGAAGTGAGAGCTTTTTTTTTTTTTGGATAGTCATGTTCTACTGTTGCTGTTGTTGTTGTTGTTTTTCTTCGCTCAACAGACTACGTGTAGTTACTCATGTCACTGATGCTGTCCCGTTGACGTCGACGTTGTAAGAATTCTGTGCTTTTGTGAAGAAAGAATCCTGTTCTTAGGTAGTAATGCCAGTTGTAGACAATGAGCACCTCATTAGAAAACAGCTGTGCGTCAGCGCTTACTCTCTGCGAAAATCTGAAGAAGCTGTTGATAGCTCTTGACTTTTAACAAAGATTGTGAGAATCCGCTCTACAACTCGGAGTTTTTACCGAGAGAGACTTACTTTCAAGCAACACCAGCATTTTTTCAAGAGATAACTTAAAAAAGAAAAACAACAAAAAAACAAAAACAAAAAAAAAACTCGCACTTTCTTCACCACCGTCATCTCGCCACGCATTTGGCTGGAAAAGTTGAGCTGCGACAATGGACCAATTCTTGTTGCGTTTGGCTCTCTTTTCTGGCTCACGATTTAAACAGGTCCTTCTTAATTCTTTATAAAGCAAAATGTTTTTGCAATATAGTAAATGCCTTATTGACCAAGTCTATTCTGTCAGGATGGCTGAATATAAGTCACGTTCTTACGCCAAAGGATTCAGCAAATATCCAGAAATCTTGACCTAACGCTTGATCAATAACGTAGATATCGTGCCCTGGATGATATCAGATTGCCATGCATTTTGCCTTTGTCTCAGCACGTCTGTGTACTAGGTTTTTCGTACAGACAAGATAGAGCATTTTGTTCTGAACACTGTTTAGTACGTACCTGTGCAGTTGTGTCCGTCTCCATTAAATCCTGGTTTACAAATGCACCTGAATGCTCCCACGGTATTCGAACAAGTAGCGGTTATATTGCTACAGTTGTGAATGTTTTGAGAACACTCGTCAATGTCTGAAATTAAATCAGCAGCC